GGACGCCTCCTGCAACGAAGCGTTGACCATGCATGCTTCACCCCCTACAAGGCCAGAGTGCTATTCTACATCTTCGTCAAACCCTTAGGCAGTCCTTGGAAACATGCTAGGAATCTTCCATACTTGCAGTTTACGTGAAATAATGGATCAAATAATACATGAAATAAAAGATGTGAAGAAAATTAGCTCATTTCAACGGTGAGCAAAAAGTATTTTTTGGACGGAGTAGTTCTACGTATTATTCCTACGTAAAATAGTATGTACTACCAGTCCCAGTTGAATTTTTTGTCGATCTCCCACCATTATTTTGGCGGATTTCGTCACAGCTCATGACGCTCCGCGCACCTTGGAGTTGCGACTTGCAATATAACCATGTGTCCCAAACCATACCGGTACAAAAAAGCTGCTTCTTGTGTAATGCTGTTGACCTAAATAATATTACTTTTAAAGAACTGGAAGCTAACAGACCGTTAATACTTCCAATAACTGACTTGCTGGGATAACTCAGGCTCGTACTCAATGTCATCATCATAAGCAACAGAAACATTGAGACCCTCATGCTCAGCGGTTTGTGCCAACTCATGAACAGTGCTCTCATCATCGACAGTCCCATCATCGCTACCACCGCCACTGTCTTCCAAGAGATTGACTGAACTGTTATCCTCCTGATCTGGACGATCGATTCCCTCTTCACCAACCGGCGGGTGATGCTGCAAGGATCCCCTTTYGTCTTTACCTCCCTTCACTTCTTTGGTGTTTCGAGTGGGGGATCCATCAGAACCTTGATTGAAGAGAGGGCTTCTGGATCCGTCCGACTCGGCAACAGTAGGGGGTTGCTTAGGAATAGGACAACCTGCATATCTTGTCAACCTAATGACGTCTCTTGCAATCAGTTCACCAGTGAAGTTGCTCAAGACAATTTTGATATTGCCATTTCCAATGTCAACAAATTCTGGGATTGAGTTCTTAGTACTATTCATATCGATGTTTGATTTCTTTTTCACGATTCTCAAATTATGGTTCAATACCCCCCACAGAACCATAGAATCTCAATGGAGTGTTTGGTGTTTGAACAAGTCAAAGTTTTGCCACCGACGCCTGCCAGCTGTTCAAATTTTGAAGTGAACGAAAAATTTCGAACTATTTGTTTTGGCCGTTCTTTCAGTCCTATGAAGTCTTATCTTGTCCAGAAGCCACACCATAATTTTGATACCACGAATAACAAAAGGAGCCCTCCTATCATGACGTTTGCCAACATAAAGACCWTTTATTGCGCCATGTGTTTCCGAGACCCTTTAGATGGAGCAAGACCCATGCGTTTTGCTGACGAAGCTTTCCTTTGTATCGATCACGAAAGCATCCTAAGGATATTCCATGGCCAAGGATTGAGCTATTGGGTCTTCATTACAGATCCGTTGCCACACGAGCCATTGTTTGTGATTGATCTGAAAGGCACTGCATGCTCTTTTGACTTTCGACGAGTAGCTAGCRCAAATAGAAACCATTTGTTTGGAAGGATGAGGATCACTGGTGATTTTGGTTCTGGCTCGGAGGAGATGCTTATCTTCAAGTTTTCAATAAACGAATACAACAGGATTGGGCCTTTGATTCGCTCCTTAGTTTCAAYTGGGGAAGACTAGGAGACAGCATGATGATGACCACTCTCCCTATCCATATCACTGTGATGATATCCCACCGCAATTGGTATTGGCAATGCCTGCTCCTGGCAGTGCTGGCTGCTGTCACTACCAATGGCGATGCGTTCACTGTTGAGGTGTGTGATTGTAACATCAATGAGATATGTCCTCACTGCCAATGCCGCTATGAGCAGCCTTGAGCGACGGATGCTGCTGGAAGCGTCAGCAATGATAGCTGTTACTAGCCAGGGYATCAATGATTAGAACTTGATTTAAACAACATTAATTTAAACAACAAGGTCACTACTTATTAATTAACGTTTCTTCGACTCCTTCCTTTCACCAAATACAAGACCATGATATTCATCTGGATCCGTAGTGCAGCKGTACCCTTTTTKAGTCTTATTACTCATCGCTTTGCCTACACRAACTAGTAGCTGGCCCAATTCTCTCACGTTTGAGTCTTCTGGGCAGAGAAAAATAGAACAAGGCCCACCAGGTCTTCTGGCTCTACTATTTACAGAACAGTGTGGCTTCTGCACCATCTCATCATATGTAAACATGAAGTGCTGTGATTTGGGCTTCTCATCACGATCAATTTTGTTTGCCCATGTGCTGCAATACTGCAATTCACTCAKATGTTTTGAAGCTACAGTGAACTTAGCTYGAACAGTGCGATCCTTCACACAGTTCACTGAAGTTGGCCTTGTGTCTACTTTTCTTCTTTTGTTCTTCTTGGTGGGAGTCTCTTTTGCAGTCTCTCTTGCTGTTTCCTCCTCCTGCGCCTTTGGTTCATCCTGCACCGTTGGTTCCTCCTGCGCCTTTGGTTCCTCCTGCGCCTTTGGTTCCTCTTGCGCCTTTGGTTCCTCATGCGCCTCTTGCACTTGTTTCTTTGCTTCTTCACTCCACTTCTTTCTCTTGTTTGCACTTCTTGTGGGCAAGGAACGCCTCCCAGTGGCCCTGTTCCGGAGCAAATAGCTGCTGTCGAGACTTCCTTTTCTCTCAAGAATTCTTTGACTTCTTTTTCTCCTGTCAAGGTGATCATGAGTGAGACCTTCAAGCTTGTCAAGCTGACCTGTTGCCTTGAGTAAACTTCGCATTTTTAATCCAGCATTTGTTGCTTCTTTAATCCGATCTTTTTTCGATGAAGGAGCTCTTTGGCTCAACAAAGAAGCTCTCATCCTTTTTTTTGCTTCAGCTGCTTGGCGTGCCTTGATTYGATTGGAAGTCCTCCGGGTCGAGGTCATCTCCTGCTCATCTTGCTCCTCCAGGTCGTCTTGGTCCGACGCCACTGTCKCCACTTCTAGCACCACTGGCACTGGCACCTCCTTCACCGGCAGTTCCTCCAGTAAGGTCTCCTTGCTGCTGTCATCATCATTGCCACTCTCCTCCTCCTTGTTGTCATCCTTGTTGCTCTCCTCATCCTYCTTGCTGTCGTTATCCTTGCTGCTCTCCTCATTCTTCTCGCTGTCATTATCCTTGCTGGTGTTCTCMCCCCCCTGGCTGTCATATGKCTCCTCTTCAACAAATGTTTGTTCAATAGTATACTGTTCAAATTCTTGATCATCTCCATTTACTACATCTTCGTCAGCAGCAGCCGCATGAGGAGGAGCAGTAGATGTATCCTGAGGACGAGGAGCAGCAGTAGATGTAGTATCATGAGGAGCAGCAGTAGATGTATCGTGAGGACGAGGAGCAGCAGTAGATGTAGTATCATGAGGAGCAGCAGTAGATGTATCGTGAGGAGCAGCAGTAATAGATGTATCGTGAGGACGAGGAGCAACAGTAGCCGAAGCAGCAGTGATCTTGACTCCCCTTGAGAAGGGGACTCAAGAGAGGGACAAGTCGTGTCGCCCAGACCCTTTCCTTGTTGTAAACCTTGTTGTGCAGCAGCAGCAGAAGCAGCAGAAGCAGCAGCAATAGTTTCTTTAGATACTTCGTTTCCCATGGTGGTTAGATTACTACTAGCAAAAAGAGCTGTCAATTCATTCATTCTAGAATTGTGAGCAGGGATTGCTAGTATCACTCAATCGATATGGCGAGTACAGCAGCCGTTCTTAGCGCTGTCGCCTGCTACTGGCTGCTGCTGCTATCGTGGAAGGATGAAACCATTTTAGTATTATCTGTTGCATCTTCCACGCTAATAGTAATGACTACCATCTTCCACGCTATCGACTATCATCATTCTATCGTKGACTTTCMATCAGTAACAGAGGMGCTTGGTGCGATCGATGGTGACACCAACAGACAAGAAGAGCCAACAGACAAGAAGAGGAGGATAGCTGCCAAATCAAGCAAAAAAACAAGCAAATATTGATTTCTGGTACAAATCTCACGTAGGATTCTACGACAAAATTGGGTATCAAGGGGGAATACTGTACAGTTTTTGATATTTTGATCTGTCTAATTAGCCAATCAGATTGCTTGATTCCTACCGAATTTTAGTATTATCCCTAACTCTAAATTAACGCCGAAAACCGTTTAAAATCCCCCTCCAAACACCTGTGCATCGCCGATCCTACCCTACGGTACGTACCGTAGAACATCGCCATCTTCCTCGACTCTTATTTTCTATTGTACCGGTAATACAAGAAGGATTACAGAAACATTGGTGTAGAGGACAAAACGATGACGAGTGATCCTTACTTTTCTATGGCGAGAGGCTTCGGTGTCTGCAATGTCCTCACTGCACTGTACTCCTGCGTTGCACACGTCTGGCTGGCTTTCGTGAGCAGAAAGGGCGGGGAAAAGGTTCCGATTCCGGTGCAACCGGGAGAGGAGATGATGAGGAAGAAATTCGCAATCGTTACAGGGGCCAACACGGGTATCGGATTCGAAGTTAGTAGAAGATTGGTTCAAGAATACGGATGGGATGTGGTCCTGGCGTGTCGATCGAAAGATAAAGCATTGACTGCGAGAGACAAAATCAACGATTTCGACAAAAGCTGCAACAACAGAAAGACTGCTGCTGGAAAGGCAATAGTCCTGGAACAGGTCCTCGATTTAAGTGATTTTAATTCGATTCGAAGATTTGCCGATGCCGTCGAAACAGAATACGACAACATTGATGTCTTGATCAACAATGCCGGGCGAAATTCGTCTGGAAAATCGCCAGGAAATCCAAATCTGGATCTCATGTTTCAGAGCAATTATTTGGGACATTTCTTGTTGACAAACCTGTTACTGAAAAAGAAACTGTTGCTGCCTCCTTCGTCAGTAGCGAAAAACGGCAACAAGATTATAAATTTATCCTCTGTGATGCACCACTTTTCAAAGGGAGATTCAATGAAGGGAGGAGATTTCGAATCAATCTCATCCCCTGCATATTGGAAACGTCGCGCGTACTACAACGATTCCAAGAACGCTCCCTCGAATGTATACGCTGCGTCCAAACTCGCTGCTATATTGCACTCCTTCGAACTCAATCGACGCTATGCCGACGCTCATCTCACTGCCATTGCCGTGAACCCCGGTGCTGTAAATTCTGATATATGGAGAGGTTTTCCGAAGTGGATGCGTGAATACGTATTCGAAAAAATCTATTTGACCACGAAACAGGGAAGTGAACCGATCGTGGCAGCAGCGGTCCGAAACGATTTGGTAGCCAATAAAAATAGCGAAACAGGTGCCGTCGTTTACATCCAGCCTTATGCGAACCCGTTTTCGATATTCGGTGGTCGCTTGTTTCCGAACTCAGATGAAGTATCTTCCTCACCACAACGAGGGCCAATGCTCCCATTTACGGAAATGCTGGGACCATTTGTGGGACACCTTCGTACGATACCCAGGCTACCTTCAAACAAGGACGTTGCAGCAGAAACGCTTTGGAGAGTGTCCAGTGAATTGACGGAATTGTGATTTACTACGATATGCAACAATGGCAACGGTAGAACTTCAGGAAAGTAATTTGCTCCACGATAACAATGCTCAACTTGGTCACCTTTGTTAATGAATATAAAGCGCGTGGAGATCCTGCCATTGGCAAACTTGAACTGCTCCGCCTTTTCAACACCAATTTCGTTACAAAATTGCACGCGTTGTTTTTAGTGACGAAAAACACCCAAGATACTTAAAATGAAAGAAAAAAATCCAAGTTTTCAAAGAGTAGAATTTTTGGTGTATCCCAAGGCCAAAAGCCGTCAAGGGTAACTATTACTGGTCATCTCATCTTGGATATGTTATCCGCAAGATGGCAATAGTAAGATTCAAATCGCAATGACTGCCGGAGGAAAGAGGCGAAAATTTCCTATTCGACGAATATCGTGTACCTAGCAAGAGCTCATAACGATAGCTCCTGGTCAATAAAATCATCAGCTGACAAGACTCTTTTCCGTTCCTTTTTGGTTGGCTGTTCTAGTACAACGACATTGTCTCTCCAGTTGTGAATCGAAGAACGTACTACTGATGGCGTCATTTTCTTTTTTGAACACGGAAATAGACTTTGATCCACAAACTTGTCGTAAAAATCGTTGAGATGTAATTTGTGCAGAGGTCTCTCTAAGAGTTCCAGTTCCTTCAAGTAAGTCAAATAGTGGTGTCGATCCGCGATTTTGTGGGGTTTGAATACGGCCAGCCCGAGTCGTTGGAAATATTTATCGTTTTGTTGTTCGGAGCGATGCACGTAGAACTTGCTTGATTCCGAGTTAAGAACAAGTTCGAAACCGGACTGACAGAATCGTCTCTTTGACTTTCTGATGAACGAGTTGGGAAGCATAGTCACGATGTCGAGATGACCATGAACGCTGACACACCTGAATTTGCCTTCTCTTTCCAGACATTCCACGGCATCTCGAAACCCCTTAAACAATCGTGGGAGAAGACTGTAGCGTTAGCTTCTGAAAAATACCTCAACCCGCAAAATTTTGCAATCGGACTTTACTCACCTCTGTTCCCGCACGAGGGTTGGCGACCCCAACAAAAGTAACAGGACGATCTACGTTTCCAAATCGCGCTGCAATCTCCAGTGCTGCTAAAAGACCTAACGCACCGCCAAGGCTGTGACCAGTGATATAAATTTTATAATCTCGATAATGTTTTCGAAGACTCTTTACCTCGTTGAGTATCCTGCACAATCGACTTCTGTTGTTCGCACGATTTTCACGTATGTCGGATAATGTCATGCTTTCAGAACGGATTTTGTTCTCCGTACCGATACATTCTTCATTGTTTTCAATAGACGCAAAAGGTGACTCTACGTTCTTCCCTATGCTGCTACGTAAGTTGTTTTGCTTCCCCTTCAGGGACGAAACGTCCAAACCAAGATACTTCAAAATCGCAGACGTCGATGTTAAACTTTCACGAGAAACATTGGCTGTCGGCGATATGTTGTCGTCGTCCGTACATGGGTTCTCAACTTTGTTTTCTTCGAAGCTTTCAATGGTTGCCTCTACACCTTCGTCGGGCAACGATGTCAAGGATAGGGATCTGCTAGAGTTTTCTGTTGAAACGGTTGTCGACTCGCCGTACAAATACTCTCGAAATCCCAAGTGAACACCAATCATCTGCAATTGTTCGGGTCGATCACCAACTGGATTTTCAATGTCGCTTACGATCACCTTGCTATCCTTGATCCAATCTTGGAGAGTCGTCGATCCTTTAAAGATGAGCGTTATCTGCTTGCTACTAGGAATCCGTGTGACCATGTACATGCATTCCAATTCTATGTTGTCGTCACCAAAATAGTCTATCGATACGGAATTGATCAGTTTTAGAGCATTTTCCTTCCGGTTATGTTCACTGTCTTCAGCCTTTGACAAGCAATATTCGCCAGATTCCTCACTGCTGTCCATGTTTGTGCTTTGTGCAACGGAACGCAGAAAGTCATAGTCGGCATCTTTCAGTTCGCCTAGGAAAAACTCCTTGTTTCTCAGGAATGTTTTTATGATTGCTCCACCCAATACGGGAGTGGAAATAATGTCGAGGCCGTCGGTATCGATCCTTCCGTCTCGTGCGGCCTTTCGAACTTCTGCCAAGGCAAAGATTGCTGCGGATAAAAAGAGCAACACAATTAAATGCATATCCGCAGAAAAGTTCCGATTGAATGTGGAGAGAAAGAGTTAGGCGATATTCGACGACAATATACGAACAATTCAATTTGTATTGGGCGGTGAGGGGAAAGGTCGCAACACCACAGCGGAGCAACTAATTCAGGTGAGTCAATATGCCAGCAAAATCTCCACGAGTTCTTGACTCACACGCGGACATGAATGCCATGGAATGCACCTCTGAGAACAGATCGGGGTTTTTGAATTCGACAGAGCTGTCCGCCGTCAAGGCCTCTAGTGGGAATTTGATAATTGACGATCTCCTTTGGTTTTCCCCACCGGTCTTATAGGATTTGTTCAGGTTCATGCTGGTGTAGGTATTCTTGAAGTTTTCGAGCAGGCTTTTGCGCCTAGCGGCACCAGCAGCCGTGGCCCCGTTGGTACCACCGGCAACAGCATTGTTGAGAATTTCTTCGTACCAATGACCTTCGCTGGTAAACTTCTGGAGGTCGCCGGTGCTACTGGATCTGCGTCTCGTGACAAACGCTAGTCCCGGATACGTTCCCGAACATCGTTGAGATGTTTCAGTTGCGTTTTGGTCCGGCATTTTTAGTTTCATGCATCATTGTCGTCACGATCGGACTCAGCGAAGAATGTTGTTGTATCTTTCTCTTATCGAACGATGCCATGGGTACAGAGGGGTTATGACCCCTGTTGCTACGTACGTAGGTACCAGTACGTACCATGCAGGTGTGAGGATAAATCACTCGAGTCCTTTTTTCTCTGCTTAAAAGCTGAAAATCAATCCTTAACCCTAACGTAGTTTTAAATGCAACTCAAAATGTCTGATCATCGTCCGCATACCTACGTACTACGTACAGTATGTACCATTGAAAATCCGAGCGATCCTCCAGTTCCTTCGTACAGTAGTTCGTACGGTACGTACGTAGTACGTACCGGTACGTACCGTATTTGTCTGAGTTCATCTTTTGACTACTACTCGTACCCGTACCCTTTGGGTGTACGGTACGTCGGTAAACGGTTCGTGCACTGCGTGCGGTATGGTACAGAATTGTACTGATGGTTGTTGTGTTGACTCCACTATTGACTCCGTTGGTTTCCATCACTGAAAAACATCAATGAAAAACTCAGAATCATTTTGAACAATCGATGTTTGATCTTCCTGGCGACAACTAGCAAAGGTTTGCTGTGACAACCCTCAGGTCTGCTAATCCCACTTGTTCGAAATTTATTTTGAAATATTGTCCGATTGTTTCCAGATATAGTGCCGATTAAAAAGCTTGGACATGGTGCAGGTATCACTGAGAAGGATAAGAACGATGAAAGAAAATCACTCCCAAAATCGGCAATTCTCAAGTACTCGTACAGCCATACGAACACGTTCGGCAACGAATATTATGGTGGTAGCCGTCTCGCTTTTTCTGTTATCTCCGACTTTAAACTCGGATGTGGCTGCCTTTCGATCAAACACGATAGGCGCGTCATCCCATACGTTGTCGCAACGCATCTCTTCTATTAACACCATCAATCCTTCGACCTCGTTGTTCATGGCACCGTCATCGAACGAGAACAGCAAAAGGCGTAGTGGAAAACCAAAATCAAAGAACAAGACCAAAAAGAAACCCCCAGCGGATACATTGTTAATTCTAAAAGAACTCGAAGAGAAAATTGATTCTTACGATGGACGATTGCCAAGCAAAATGCCAGCCAACAGAGAAACCGGGGACATAAATTTGAGCGACAGTCAACACCAACAACATAGATGCGGATTTGTTGGAATCGTTGGTGCACCAAACATGGGGAAAAGCACTCTTCTTAATGCTCTGTTGAAAGAAGATCTATGCATAGCGACTCGACGTCCTCAAACGACAAGGCATGCTATCCTGGGGGTTTTGTCGTCGCCAACCAGACAGTGTTGTCTCTTGGATACTCCCGGTGTCCTACAAGGAGACGGTGCCTACAAATTGCAGGCCAACATGATGGAGGCAGTGAAGGGTGCACTCAAAGATTCCGATGTCCTCTTGGTTGTCACAGATATGTTTTCTACGCCGATTCCCAACGACGAAATTTTTCGTCGCCTATCGCTAACAAACAAACCCATACTGGTTGTCGTAAACAAAATCGATTTGGAGGGAAGAGCTCAACGACCTCTTGACACAGCGAGTGATGAAAAGAACAACGACGAAAACGAGGAAGAAGAGAATGAAAAGACCTACACGGTCGCCGAAGCCGTAGCGAAATGGAGAAATTTGTTGCCGAATGCCTTGGCAATCATTCCGATGACAGCAGCGCCAGACCCCTCTACTACCGAAAGGGCTTCGGAGTCTGATGTGGAAGAACACCCCGGGATTGTGCTTTTGAGGCAACTCTTGGTTGGAAGTGGAAAGGACGAAGAGGATGACATCCCGGCATCAGTCCGAGCCTTAGGACGTCCCGTTCCGGGGATGTTCCGAAATGGCATAAAGTGTTTGACAAATGATGACGCCAGGAACTTATTGCCTGTCGGACCTCCTCTTTACGACGATGATTTTTTGTCGGATCGATCTGTACGATTTTTTTGTTCGGAACTCATTCGCGAAGCCTTGCTGGAAAGCCGATACCTCAAGAAAGAATTGCCGTACTGCTGCGAAGTCCAAATCACAGAGTTTAAAGAACCTCGACAGGCCAAGGAGTTAACTCGCATCGAAGCAACAATCTTCGTAGAACGGGATGGACAAAAAGCGATAGTCGTGGGTAAAAACGGAAACGTAATCAAACAGGTTGGGATCATAGCGCGAGAGAAAATCGAACGATTTCTGGATGGAGAAAAGGTTTTCTTAAAACTGCAGGTCAAAGTTGACAAGGATTGGAGGAAAAAAGACGATGCACTGACAAAGTTTGGTTACAGCCGATAAATAAATCAGATAGTCAAATACCATTAGAAACTGATTAATCCCAACGGGGTGATATTTTTCTGTAATTATGTCATGAATTTGTCAAAACTTCTGTATTTTCATTGCGGCGAACACATTCAATGCTGTTTTCCACATCACTTGGATCGCCAACAAGGGATCTATCAGATATATAACCTCCTCCACTATTTGCAGGAGAGGTATGTGTCGAACTACTTGCCAGGCTTGCCAAAGGGGAAAGCGCAAGCCTAGTCCCGGCAATAGCTTTTTGAATCATCGTGATCCATTCGTCCCGTTCCGCTTTTGATTTCGTTGCAAGTTGGTACCGTTTCTTGTTTTCAACATTTGTATGAATTTGAAAAACGTTTTCTCTTTTGACGCCCGGATTTTGAATAACTTCCGTAACATCCTTCAGTGAAATTCTGTCTTTTTTTTCGCTTGTTTGATCTCGTGAAAATATGATTTCGGTAGAAGTCAATACGCACCAACGTTGGTGCCATTGTAATCCCATTCCTAATCCAAAGTGTATTTTGTTCAAGAGAAATCCATTCTTCAGCACAGTAGTGGACTGGCGTCGACGAAGCGAGGCTTTAGCACCAAGTACATCGAATGTTATCAAAACTTCATTATTGGCCTTCCCATCGTACTCGTCCTTCGTTATCTCCCAGTACTGACTCGATTCTGTTCTTGAAACTTCATCGTTCCCATATGTTTTATAGGCTTTTACTCTACATCGGCGCACATTTCCAATCAGATCGTTCCGAAAGCTCACTTCGAAAGTCCAGCTTCCGTCATAGTTCGTGTACATGATTTTGCCAGCAATACCAGATGTTGGAAACCACGCACTACCGTTGCATCGACTCGTAACTAGAACTTCTGTCCTGGGTGGTATCTCCGTTCCTGGATACAAGTGAAAACACACAGCGTTTCCGTTGGGATCATTTGCGTTAATCGATTTAATATACCTGCCGCTTTCCAATTGGACACCACTTTTTAGCCTCAGTGGCTCGTAAGATGTGTTTCTCAGTCTCAGTAAAGTGGTATGAGAAATTTCGCCGAGTTTCTTCCGCAACGATCCAAGAGAGACGGGTATTCTTTGTGCATCGATAGGGTGAACTTCCATTTTCTTATGCAAAGTTGATGACGGGAATAATTGGCCCCAAGAATGAAAATCTTTGGACATGCGAAACGATTGGTTCCCTCGCTCTTCTTCGTCTTCATTTTCTGGTTGTTTTGTTACGAGATCGGCAGTGCGTACGTCGGCTTCGTCGATCAAATGGAGTATCTTGTTAGTGCGAGATATAAGTTCCTCTGGCAAGGCGTCTAGCTCCTCCGCAGCAGTTGTCAAAAGTTGCAGAACTTCGTTGCGCATCATAGTTCTACTTGCAGATTCTTTCCGAAGAGATTCCGCCTGATGATGCAATGACTCGGTTTTAGTACATAGTTCTCTTTCCATTCGTTCTTGACGACCAAATAATTCAACCCGTTCGAGGCTCCCCAACGCAGCTGCTGTGCTACTCGATAATTCTTGTGCCGCTTTGTCAATTTTTGCATAAGGTCCTGTCGTAACTGAAATCTCGTCTTGCCAAGATCCATCATAGACACCTTCCTTTCTTCTCTCTTTTCTGTCCTCGGAAGATTTCATTAACAGAAGAACAGTTGAAGTGACTGCAACACAAGACCAAAATATGTGAATGACAAATGAGGAGTTATCGAATTCAATAAGATATGTGCTATGGATCAGAACACCAGCCGTAATAAACATAGCTATAATGCCGAACGATAGCAATTCAATCGACATTTTCCCGATTGGATCAATATATTCCACAACCTTGTCACAAAATCACAGCAGGAATAATAATGACAAAACGTCAGAGATTGAGATGATGCAATTCCGTAATGGGCTCTCGTTTCATTTCTAGGGAAGCGATTTATGGACGCGAAATGCACTCGAGTACTCACCCATTTCTCATATGCTTGGTGCACAAGATAGATTTCATGGGCACCAGTGGGCAAGTTTTTGGTCACTTGCTGTTGCCATGCTTTCTGCAAGTCCTCACTTTGCACAAATAGTTTCCGCTCCAATCGGGCCGCCGTATTGTCGTGTAGTCGACGCACCATGATTACTGCCCCCCAAAGACTGATCGAAAAGAGCATTATGCTTAATCCAAGACCTGAAACGTACAAGGTAAGCAACAGAGAAGATGTTCCGTCCGGCGGAGTTTCGACAGCTATAGTAAAGACGCACCCTAAGCAGACTGTATCACACAACATAATCATATTGAATCGGTTGTTTTGGTTACAAAGTTCGTCCCGCAACGATTCTCTGACTTCTGAGCGCCAAGCCATTTCGTACGACCGAGAATCTTGATCTCTTGCCAGCTTAATCCCTTGCCCAGCTAGTTTTTCTGCTTGATAGTAAGACGCTGTAGCCATTGCCTGTGCCTCGGAGTGATGATGAGCTGTTTGCATCATTGTCTCCCCGTGGCGAACCGAAGCCTCGGCCCAATCTGCCGTCCACAATCGTTTTGTCTGTCTCATCTGTTGTTTGAAGAGATCTCGGCTTTGGTCCATGTCCGATTTCCCCATCCCAATCCCCAAAGCCGTAGCACCTGCCGACCCCGCGGTGCCGACAGCTTTCGCAGCGCTGACAGCACAAGGTATAACCATTATCAATTGTTTATTTCCTTCACCTTGTACTTCTGGGGGTCGATTACTACGGCCATCGCGCCTCGAAAGAAAAGTAGAACAAAATAGTACTTCCTCGAAGTAGTAGAAAATAATTTTTATGATGAATAATGCACCTTTTAATTAAGATGTATTTTACCTATCATCTAGTACCACAACCTATGCTACTGATTTGTACGGTAGTACTTAAGGTACGTATGTACTGTTGTGTAATGCTTGTTCCTCGACTGTACAGTATTTCCCGCAGTGGGTGGTAATTCCCATCAGTATTACTACTACTAGTACTTGTTCTAGTTGTACCGATACTACCATTCTGAAGTCCAGATTGGCTCGCTAAGGCAGGTAGATTCTATGGTGCAAAAACTAAGTGAGTGCCAGCAAGATGATGGACGCGTACTGGTCTGAAAAGAAATTAGACTACTACTACTAGTAGTAGTAGAAGCTAATCAATGAAACCAAGAATGTGGCTGCTGGTGGTGGTGGTTGTTGTTGTTGTTGTTGTTGTTGTTTCTCAAATTTCTGGAATTTCTGAAATATGAATGGAACTCATGGATTTGTTGTGTATGTTCTTGTTGTTTTTGTAAGGAGACAAAGAGGTGTTCTTACAAACCCACCAATGGAAGTTCTAACTCTTCTTGAAACCAAAACAACAACATAAATCCAATTGCTTCTTGTGTAGTTGCTGGTCAACCAAGTTGAAACCAACACATTTTCAAGAGATTTTCCTTGGAATTTGTGAAGGTTTCTTGCATCAGCAATATTAATTGGGAATTGAGTTCAATGTATTCCCTTGTGATTTGTTTGAATTTGATGGGTTGTTTCCTCATATTCTTGTGAACATCAAAAAGTAGCTGTTGCTGCAGTGCTTTGAGAAGTTAAAGTGATTCCATTTCTCCTTGGGTCTCCTTCTTCAACAAGGACCACCTGTATCCATTCAATTTTCTCAGCATCTACATATTGAACAAATATCCATCAATGTTGACAATTTCACAAACTTGGTATCCATTTTTCAGTTTGATAGGCTTAGATGAACAGATGGTTTTGTTTGCTTTTGATTTTTCAATGTCTATGTTTCCCTTACCAGTAGTAGTAGTAGTAGTAGTAGTAGTAGTAGTAGTAGTAGTAGTAGTAGTAGTAGTAGTAGTAGTAGTAGTAGTAGTACTAGTACTAGTAGTAGTAGTAGTAGTACTAGTAGTAGTAGTAGTAGTAGTAGTAGTAGTAGTAGTAGTACTAGTACTAGTAGTACTAGTACTACTAGTACTAGTAGTAGTACTAGTACTAGTAGTAGTAGTAGTAGTAGTACTAGTAGCCATGACACCAGCTCTACCAACATACAATTTAAGCTTTGGATCTAAGCTTTTGGGATATTTGGTTCGACCACCTGCAACCATGTCAGCATCTGATGTGGCAGTTGGGAAGCAGAATTTTTGAAAATCTGCCAAGTATCTGTATGCTATTGTTTTGTGAATCTAAAGTTTTATGTCTTCGTAGGTTATGGGTGCAATGGTGTGATCTGGTAGTCTGCCATTTATATTTTTTAATGGGTAAGAAGTTCCCCCCAACATATTTGTTTTAAGTTCAAGAGATGTGTTTTTTCTCTCCAAAGATACTAGAAAGAAAATTGACAAGAGGGAGTATCCTGTCACTGGTTTGAGTTTACTGAAGTCACCTACAAATACAATGGGCAGATTGCCATGAAAATTACTATGACAGCTTGTTGCATAATAAGTTGAGATACTAACTAGTTCAATGTTTCCAACTGCTTGATGGAAGCAAATGATATCTCATCAACAATGAGCAGGCAAGTCTTGTTTAACATTAGATCTATCACAATTTAGATGGCAAGCTTTATGTGTTGTTTCCCCATTGATGATAGTAATGGATGCTGATCTGGTCATGCCTGTGACAGCCAGAGTTCTGTTGGAAAAGCTCACTCCCTATTCTTTGCAACCCATCTCACAACAATGTCAAACAGAATGAATCACTTGTCTTGATTTTCCAAACCCACAAGCCCCTGATAGAAATCAGATAGACTGCTCTTGTTTGTTGTTCATGATTGCCTCAAGATCTTGTATGCACTTGTTGTGGCAATTGCCAATCTTCCCTTGGAGTCCCTCCTTGTTTTCAATCAATCAGATGAGTGAACAGTTTTTTAAAACGGCACTGTTCTCAAGCAATATTATGAATCTAGATGTGTGGCAATTGAAGTGGAAATTAAAAGCTTACTACGAAACAATCTGTCTGTAAACTGAATCTGGGGTGCTGGATCTCCTACTAAAAGGTCATGAAAGAAACTAGCATTAGGACTGAGACTTTCATCATTAGTTCAAAAGCAGCACAAATACATCTCTCAAAGATTTTATATATTACCTTGTTCTTGTACCAGTAGGGTATTTTTGAATCATGTTTTTTGGGATACTAGTTGCAAAATGATTTCTTGACTGTCATCAATGTTTCCATCTTTGTTGTGTTTTTTCCCTCGCAAAGTTTCGACCTGCTACCTTTCTCAACTTTGATGATTTTTAGTGCATGTGTCTGCTACCAATCAATTATACTATTGCTGGAATACTTGTTTGATTACTTTGTGAAAGATTGTCCTCAGATTGGTTATCATACAATTCTTCAAATAAACATTTGCTTCTTTGGAGGAGAGACAACAATGCTTTGTGTAGTGGTAGTAGTCCATAACCTTGTTTATGTCATCACTACCAAAGTAAGGATGAGGAATGTTCTGGGTGCTTTTGTGCATGCCTGCAAGTGATTGTTAACCCTTGTTCTGGAAATAAGAGTCAGTTGTAGTACTATTTTTGACTGTGGTGCTATCATTGCGTGGGCCAAGCAAAAAAACACGATACAGTTGTACTAAATACTTGATATAAGTACATTTATATTATTGAATACTCAATAACCCCCTATAACCCCCCATATCACTGAATTTGTCTTTTTACTGGAATTTGATTCATGTGCTTATCATTGTTAAGCGTCCATTGGGGACCAAGATAGCTGTTTGAGTGAGTTGACCCTTAGCTAACTCTCTACTTGTATTTTGTATGGTGCGTGAATAACTGGCCATCTAATTACCATCTACTACTAGTAAGGACTACTTTGACGAAGCAATTTTCATGTTTTTTTAGCCAAAATTGTCGGTTGAGCACGTGTGCAAAACTATTTGGTTGCACAGATGTGGGATTTGAGAATTCAAGTACTAGTATTTAGCACGTGGATTTTGTATATATTTAGTTTTTTAGTCAAAGTAGTCATTACACACAAAAAGATAGCCCATAATCTACGGCTGTATCATAGATCTGCTGGCTAGCTCTATACAATATGTTCTGCTGGGCAATCACCTGTCAGTAATCCAGATATAATTTCAAAAGCTGGTGGTTTGTCCCCATAATACTAGTTTTGGCTTGGCATAGTACTAAGCAGTACTACTAGTAACATTGAGGAAAGTGCATTTGTAAGAAACATTTTAGCATTTCTTTTGAATCCTTCTAACTATGTTTTTCCTGGATTCTGTGGTGTTTGTAGTAACATGAGTGTCAGTTATGGTAGTACTGCCATCAAGTAGACAAGCAAAGTCCTCAAGGTTGTAGGTTCCTAGAAGTCTTCCAGAATTGCTATCTGCTGCCTTGATAGGAATGTCACTGTCACAAAGTTTTGCTACAACATAGTACCAACTAGTGCTACAGTTCTCAAACAACACAAGTATCAATTTCGCCACACCTCATGCTCTCTGAGTTCCTGCCAGAGTGACAGTATCCATATTCTCCAGCACTGTTCTCATGGCAGTTGACTTTCCTTGCTTTGGAATACTATCTTATCTTTGAGGAAGGCAATGACAACTATTGGATTCCTATCTATTTCCACTGAAACCTTGGCCAGCTGTGTTGCAGAATGGTTTTACACCTGCTGCTGTGTTACTCCAGTATTAGTATCAGAATTGAAGGTTTACAGCAAAAACCAAGGCCATCACTTCTTGCTACCAATAGCATTGTGTGCAAGTGTTTGAAGTTCCCCTGTAAAATCCCTCTCTTTCTGTTGTACTAGTTGCCGCCCCTCAGTGCAGCTAGGAGCATTCTTCTCCCTGGTCCAAAGAGGCTCTGGTTCTGGTCATATAGTGCCTCTTCTTGTTCAAGAGATTAAATATGATATCAAGTTTTTTTATTGTACTAGTAGGGCCATCCTGATAGTAATAAAATCAGATGAATTTCAGTAGAAAAGCATCTGGTCAGCAGCTAATGGACACATATTTTGAATACAGACTTCTTGCAATTGAGCTGTTTCTGACCAGTAATACAAGAATGGATGGGTTGTAGACATATGTATCAGCACTGTGCTGCTAGTTTGAACCTGATAGGTGAGAAAGTTCACATCTTTACCTCCAACTGCACTGACACATGACATGATAATACCATGTCTGATGATGGTGTTGATTAAAAGATGGAGCAGTTAAAAAAATCTTGATGTTATGTTTAAGCTTGTAAGCTAAAAGAGGTGCTATGTTGGCCAAGTTGACTCAGCCTTTCAAGTTTACATAATAGACTGTCTGTCAGAAGTTCCTAGGAAAATTCAGCAGGGCCATCAATTGTTGTTTTATTCAACATACAGGAAACATCTCTGCAGCAGGTGTCTGAGTGGTGAGTTAGGAGAGGCTAAGCTAAGTACCCAAGGTTGAAAAACAGACTTGTTCTGGACAAGGAGGATGTAGACCAAAGAAAGAACATTCTTAAGTTTGATGATGCTTATGTTGTACAACTTCCAATGTATTGATCATAGTGCTAGTCACAACCAGATCCTAAAGATGTTCAAAGTGGATAGAAAGACTGTAGTATCCTTTACATATGAGGAGAATATTATTGTGGATGCTGCCGGAGGTGATGAAATGACAGTGGGTGTTAGTCAAAACCAGATTCTTGAGATGTTCAAAGTGGATAGAAAGACTGTATTCTTTGGCCATGGGGATAAAATCATTGCAGATGCTATAGAGGTGATGAAGTGACAGTGGGTGTCGATCACAACCAGATTCTTGAGATGTTCAAAGTGGGTACAAAGACTATTCTTTGGGCATGAGGAGACTACCATTGCAGATGCTGCTGGGGGT